TTTGGTTGCCAAATTAATTTGTCTGTCACATGCCATAGGGCGGAAGAATTTCAATGGTTATCCATATCCTCCCTGTCACAGGAATTCAGCCAGGAAATGATGGTTATTTGGAAATTAATGTAGAATTATAGAGTTAGTTGAGAGAATATTGTGTTGGGCCACCATTTCTTCTAAAGTCTATTAGAAAAAAATTTATATTTTTGGTTTAACAACCTTTAAAACTGGGTAAATTAGTAATGAACTTTTACTATAATCGAAATCTCGTCAAAATCATCACGGATTGTCAAGGATGCATATTTCCAGTCTTCCACTTCAAAGGAAATCAAAAGGAGTTTTGCTGTTAAAAGGTGATTGCGCAATTATAAATTTATAATAAAGGATGGTGACTAACTTATTTTTAAGTTGGAGACTATCTTGTTACTCGAATAATAACTTGGGACCAATTATGCATTTTCCCTGATATTGTATGGGTGAACATAGTTGAGATCTGCTGTCCAAAATTGATTGTCTAACTTGTTGTTTACGCAATAATTTATTGGCACATCGCTTTAAATTAATAAGTTCAACTTTTCTTTTACTGTTATTTGTGCTTAAAATGGGTGTAAAATGACGTGTCAATGATTTATTGGTGGACAACTAATTTTGGACAATAAATCTTGATTAAAACATTAGTACGATAGCTTGACCTTGAAATATAAACTCGTTGTCAAATAATAATATTTCAAACTTGTACAAAATTATACCAGAATTTGTTTATAAATACAGTAAAAGTTGAACATTGAACATTAATTTCGATCAAACATTTGTAAATACTACTCAATATTACTATACATATCGTTGGATAACTACTATTCTTCTTTATAAATTGATTTATAAATTTGACAAATGAAGGCTAACTAATTTTATTACAAATAAATTAATAAGACATGACCATACACGTTTGGTAAAATATAAGTTACTTAAAAAAAAATTTGACCAGCTTTTAATCTTACCCAAGCATAAACCATTCAATCTCGTGACAAATGCAAGGCGAAGAAAATGACCTTATGCCAGTAAATTAAGCATTAAAATCTTGAAATTTTGGCTGAAAATCTGATAATTGGACAAAAATGTGGATTTGAACGTGTTGATGTGAAAATTCAATACCTTGCATGTGCACGAAGTAGATAATTGATGAGGATGTGACATTATTGGTTAAGTGGAGGATGAGAGGTTCTCGAGTAACTATCACTCAACCGTCACAATATACGCACAAAGCAATTCAAGTAACATGGTGCATGCCCGTACTCTTTATTGATAACACCCTCGACTGGAATTTTAATTAAATTCATTAAAATTTAAGTGTCTTCAACTGAGATTTTAATAATTTGTAATAAAATCCTTTAAAATTTAAGTATTATCGATAATTCATGAATTCATAAGAATTTCATTAATAGAGGAATTTTAAACGTTTTGGATGAATTTTAAGTTTAAAAATACACATAATAAATTCTTTTGGAATTTCGCTATTTTTAATTATATTTTTATGAATTTCGTGGAAATATATTCAAATCTATGAAATTCGTTAGAATTCATTTCCGATAATAGTCAAAGTTTTTAGATCGTGTATTTAATTTATGCAACACGTGTAAAGATTTTATGCTCTAAATTTCATTGTTGATGTCTAAATTGCTCTTCACACCTTATCGATGACAAAAAGATGAAGGCATTAAGATATCTACAAGGTATTTATGGGATAATGAGTTAGGCCATTGAAATGGACTAACTAATTATACTTCAATACTCGAGTTATTGCAATAATAGAAGAATTTTCACAATCTTTTAGTTAGAGCGAATGGTTGCTTAATTTCAGCCAACAATACTTTTCTTCTCATAGGTGGACGTTGACACTCTTCTGTCGAGCTGATAGTTGTCTCTTCTCGAGAGTCATAGAGACAATGCTATTGAGCAATGAGAATTACAAGTCTCCAGAGACTCGTGGGATCTTGCCCTCAAGTTGCACTTTGTGTCTAGTAGCTCAAAATTTCGTATTGATTTTAAGTATTTGTCACGTCAACTTGATATTTTACCAATCGTAATGTACTATTAAAAATGATTAATGATGATTAGAACATGTCAAAAGGAGTCAAACTTACACGTAAAAGGACGTGCACAATATATAAATTTGAATATTAAGTAGTTCTACCTTATCTAGCAAAACTTGAAACACCGTTGGTTATTTGCAAAGGAGAAACAAGCAAATCTCTCCATGTTAGGGTGTAGGCGTAGCTTTCAAAGTGGAAGCCACAAATCAGCTTAATTGATGCCTTTGATGGAGGCCAAATGTCCCACACAAATCTTGACATGTATCATAGTAGGTTGCATCGCACGTCAAATGTTGCTACGGAGTTACGGCGAGCTTTGCGGTACAAGAATTATTAATTAATTTAAACAGAATTTTATTTAAAGTTTGAATTTTGGAGCAACAGCACGTGGGAGAGTCATGGAGTTTTTTAGTTCGACACGTCATAAATAATTTTTGGAATTGAAGCCAGAAATGGATAGAATTTGGAATAGTTAATTAGGATACGGTGGGACGCATGATTGTGTTTGATTTAGATTAGAGAGAAGCTAAGATTTTTAACAAATTTTGATTAAAAGAAATGATAAAATTTCCGACTCAAATTAATTGTTGACTTTGATTTAAATTTTAATTAATTTTTTAATTGAATGAATCATGAATTTGAAGAATTAATTCTGAAAGTCGGGTTTATGTTTGACTCGTTTCATATGCTCTTTATGAATCATTAACAAAATACATTATTTCTCCACCTAGACACTTGTAAATTATACAATAAATAAATAAACCGGAAAAAGAAGATATAATTTATTTGTCATGGAAATAAAGAGAGAAGATCATGTTTGTATAACTTGCTTCTTGTACAAGATAAATCAAGACAAAATATCTTCGATGGTCCCATGAAATCAAAAAGATTATTGTTGTTAAGAATGATTTGATTAATTAACAAAATAGAAATTTATTATTTTTTCTATAATTAATTGGTTATAATATAATTTTTTACTTTCTTTCGGGGTATTGATAAATTATATAATATTGCTTCGATAAATTATTAACTAAAAAGAAAATAAGACAAGTCATCAACGCAATGTCTCTAAATAATTATTTCATATTTGTGAAAGATCACAAATAGTAGAAAAGGAATCCCATGTCGAAACAAAGCAAATCATTTCCATCAATTTATATGAAAACAAGAAGTTGTTATCAAGACGAATCATTTGAATTTTTTGTGTCGGTGACCCCCTTTGGTTTTCTTTTCTTTTTTTTTTTTAATTAATTTTTAACCACACAATTATGAGATTCACAAATTTTATTAATTTTTACTAAGATCTATTAAAAATCTTATTTTTTAGCTAAACCAATCAGGGACTAAAGATGAGTCGAAGAAACAAGTTCTAAGTGGCTAATTGCTTACAAAATTTCCTAATCAAGATCTAGATTTGATGTTACGCCACGTCCATCTCTTCCAAGATCTCTCGATGTTAGACTAAATTACCTCTTGAATCTATGACATTTGGATACAAAATTATTGTGTTACTTCGGATCAAGTCTTTTGTCACTTTAGTGAGAGAATACGTTTGTAAATGCATGCTCAAAAGAAATGGTAATTTATGACATACTTAGTACAATTTTAATTTATCCAGTTATAGCTGATATTGTACTAATTTATGCAATGCGGAGACAGTTGTCGTAATACATTTAAAAATAAAGTTGTTATGACTACGGAGACTTCGACACTAGAGATCATTCTCTCTTCACGTCTTCATAATTAATGAAATAGCCGATGACATGTATGGTGACGATAATTATACATCATTATCCTCGAATTCAAATTAAAAATCAATCCACTCTATTTTTGACTCGATCCTTAGTTATTTTTGAAAGTTGTTTTATTTATGTATTTGAAGATACTCCAAACATTTGAAAGACTTCATTCTCAAGTATTAAACTTTTCGGCAAAGTTAGCACTTCATGACTGCTTATGCATGCGGGAGCTACCATTATTATTGTAGAGTTTACTAGGTAAAACTTAAAAGACTGTGCTCTTGAGAACAGTATCGTATTTTAATAGAATAATGTTATTTGCAGTCGCTCATTGTGGCAGTGGCATACACATGACAGGTGGTTATTTGATGTATTAATGAATAAAAAAAACTATCACATTAATGCATCAAATAATCACCTGTCATGTGTATGCCACGTAGGACGATTACCGCAGTGAACGACTACGAATAGCATTACTCATTTTAATATCATACAAACTGAAACATAACTATCTGTATCGATTTTTTCAATAAAAAAATAATTCACAATTTATTGGATTTTAGTTCAATAATTAGCGGGTATTTGGGAGCAATTTTATGTAAAAATGCATTTTTTGAATAGTAAATTGATGGGAAATGTATGGTTGAAAAATAAGAAATTTTTTTTATTTACGTGTAATATTATTTTAATAAAGAATGTGTGGTTGAAAAGAAGAGAGTGAAAAATGCATTTTGAAAAAAATGGATATCAAACAGAACCTTAATGTGCCCTGTATTAGTCAATCTGCTCGAGTGTTGAATGAAGGATCAAGGTTAAATAGATGGAAAAGAATTTATTCTATTTTACTTTTGAGGCAATACATCAAACTACTAATCGCCAATTTTGAATAGATGACAATTCTTTATGAATTTTCTGTTGAATCGACCGTCCAATTTAATCATTATTGATGATATACTTATAGGTAAGGGTAGGGTTGGGGGAACAAAAGAAACTATGAATTGCCATTTATTTCGACCGTGATAAGGTAAAGGCACGCCTAACGGCCAAAAACTACCAGAGGGGAATCTCCGTAAAATTAGTAATCACAAAGGAATTGTAGGCCCCACCCCTACATGTTCTGTATAATCACGCCTTCTTCCCCGGCTATTTTTCTCCTTTTATAAACCCCCAATTTCTCATTCATTTGCCTCACCCCTCCATTTCTTCTCACCACTTCACTTTACACTTTTGAGAGACAAATGGCATTCATTTCAGTCACTTTCGTCTCTCTCATTTTCTGTCTACTCATTCAATCCCTAGCTGCCTCCTCTTCTCCAGTTCGAGACCCGGAATTGGTTGTCCAAGAAGTTCATAGGTAAGCTCGACTATAAATTTATTGAGATAAGTAATACTTAGTTTGTTGTGTTTAGAAGGTACACTGTATAGCATTGTATTAAAACTTCATCCATTTGTATTGTTCAATCTTGTCTAGAACTACTTAGTATACATAATGTAGCAATTTTGACTAACAATGTGTGAAATTTTCCCAATGCAGACAACTAAATGTCTCAAGGAGGAAATTGGGATTTCTCTCTTGCAACACCGGGAATCCCATCGACGATTGCTGGCGGTGTGATGCCAATTGGGAGAAAAATCGACAGAAGTTAGCGGATTGTGCGATAGGGTTTGGAAAGAATGCCATTGGTGGAAGAGATGGAAAGATATACGTTGTAACGGATTCTGGGGACTACGATGTCGTCAACCCGAAGCCAGGGACTCTCCGACATGCCGTCATCCAAGAAGAGCCATTATGGATCATATTTGCAAGAGATATGGTAATCCGATTGAAAGAGGAGCTAATTATGAATTCATTCAAAACAATTGATGGTAGAGGATCAAGTGTGCACATTGCTGGTGGTCCGTGCATTACTATTCAGTATGTGACTAACATTATCATACATGGAATAAACATACATGACTGTAAACAAGGAGGGAATGCTATGGTGAGGAGCTCCCCAACTCACTTTGGGTGGAGAACTCTCTCGGACGGTGATGGTGTGTCGATCTTCGGTGGAAGCCACGTGTGGGTAGATCATTGCTCCTTGTCAAATTGCCGTGATGGATTGGTTGATGCCGTTGAAGGGTCCACTGCTATCACAATTTCAAACAACTATATGACTCACCATGACAAGGTTATGCTCTTGGGACATAGTGATACTTACTATAAAGACAAGGACATGCAAGTTACTATTGCCTTTAACCACTTTGGAGAAGGGCTTGTCCAAAGAATTCCGAGGTAAAGCTTGGAGCCTGAACATTTAAATATATTTGGTACGCAGTATTAGATCACAGACTTGTTATTTATTTTTTATTTTTTATTTTTGCTACAGGTGCAGACATGGTTACTTCCATGTAGTGAACAATGACTACACCCATTGGGAAATGTATGCCATAGGAGGAAGTGCTTCACCTACAATTAACAGCCAAGGCAACAGATTTCTTGCCCCTGATGACAGATTTAAAAAAGAGGTAAAATTCACATCGTTATTGTTTAATTTCTCTGGTTAGTAACAATGTTATTATTCTTTGTTTAGGAATAAGCTGGTCTTCAATTTTGAAAAATGGACAAATTGATCCCGATTCCCGACATTTCATTATGTTTTCATATTCAATCCTTGGGCATCTATGTCGATTTATCACGTGACTTAGGCATGTCCAACTTTATGAAGCTAATTTTCTATATCGTTTCGAGAAATTTGAAACAAAACATGTTTTCGTGAATGTATCAAACAATTTGAAGAAATTTGGATGGTTCCTATTGCGATTCTAAATTTATAGGAAACAAGAGTTTTAATTGGTTTGCATGAATGTGCAGGTGACGAAACACGAGGATGCACCAGAAAGCGAGTGGAAGGGTTGGAATTGGAGATCCGAAGGCGACCTAATGTTGAACGGAGCATATTTCGTCCCTTCTGGTGCCGGAGCATCATCGAGTTATGCTAGAGCGTCAAGCTTAGGTGCCAAGCCATCTTCACTTATTAGTTCCATCACCTCAGGCGCCGGCGCACTCACCTGCCGAAAGAGCTCTCGTTGCTGATAAATTATGAATTATAAGTTAAAAGGTTTGCCACAAGAGATAGAAATTTAGGGAAATGTGTAGGGACAAAAAAGGAGGCCTAGTTTTCACTGTTTGGGAGTGGAGGTGTAATTTGGTGGCTTTTTCTTTCCACCAATTTTTACTTTTTTTTTCTTTTTGACTTGATTGTCAACTACAACCTAGCCTGCTAAATTTGAATCATTGGAAGTTATTCTTCTAATTGGTTGTAGAGAAAGCAAGGCAGAAGTGTTGATATATTTTTATAATTATATAATATTTCTATTTGTATCGTACTACGGAATTCTCTGTTTTACATGTACATGCAAATAAATTCGTAGCTATAGAATGTACAATTATCGACTGATTTCGAATAGCTAACTTGATATATCATCGATCAGGCCGAAGTAGTAACATTTGAAAACCATTTATTGAGGGCTGGACTAATTCAGTCAGTTTAGCAGGACTGAATTAGTCCAATTCAAATGAATAGTCATTGTTTTGCAAGTCGATTCAATCTGATTTTTGGAACAAGCATAAAGATGCTAAGACAAGAACAGAAAAGTTTGAGTAAGAATGCCAAACAAAAGATCCAAGAAAATCGAAAAGGTTCAAAATTTAGTTGAATTTGTTGGAATTTGGTTTTAAGAATTGAAATTTTGGTTAGGTATATAAAACTTTGGAAAGTTACCTTGTGTCAATTTTGGCCAGACATTCGGACTTGATCCGATAGTCAAACTATGAATGTAAATAGATTAACTTGTTCTGTTCATTAAGTAGATTGTTGTGGTATATTTGAAATCTTAAAATCACATCCGGACGAATGAGAAATCATATTCCAAATTTTAAAGGAAAATCTGGAATTTAGCATATGTGGCCGCTGCTCAAGCGGTAGTCTAGCACCAGGCGAGCGACGGGTTGGGTTGCAACCTTTCATGAAAATGCTGAGTGTGGAGTGCGTCTTTCCAACAACACCCCTTCGCCTTCTATATATCCCTTGAACGTTTATTTGTCATTCCATGTCATTCTTTTCATTTTATGTTGCATAAATCACTTCATCAAAAGTGGTTTTCGTTGCATAAAGTTCATAAATTGGTAAAGAGAGAATTTTGTTAGAGTTTGTTAGGCTAAATCATTTGGAGCGCTTCTATAGCTTGACGCGATCGTTGTATTTTGGAAGATGATTGTCAAAAAATCGTTAGCACCAATGTGGGGCAAATTTATCTTAAGGTCAAACATTTGTCTCGACCAATCGCATCACTTGCATCTCCTCTTCTTTCTAACTTAGTATTTGATTTCAGAAATTGACTAACATTCTTTTCATTTCATGTAAGGTTTGAATTAAAGAATATAATGGCTTTCATTTGAAGAATGAAAATGATTGAATCCGTCGTCACATATTTGACTTCAATAATTATCATCTCACCTTCTCAAATAAGTAAAAATTATGTACGATTTTGTAAAAGGTACGTTTGAGAATATAACATATGCACATTATCGGTGAAATATTCCAACAGAATTAACATTCTATAGAAGCATCCCAAGATTTCATCATTATAGTAAGTTGCGTGGAATTGAACATGAGACAGACCTGTAACGCCAAAGACACTAAATTGGACTAACAATGTTGACAAATAACTTTTTGAATTCTTTTTATTCTATAATACTATTTAATTTCATATATTATGCCAAACTTATAAGCACTCTATAATTGACGGTCATATTCAGGGCACGTTTGGCAGGCTTTTGAAAAGTCAAAAATGAATTCTGACACTAAAAAATTGCTTCAGAATATTTTTAAATAATTTTCTGAAAGTACTTTATCCGACTAGAAGAACTTTTAAAAGAAACTGATATGCGTTGATTATCTCAAAAAACTATTCTAAAAGGAGTATAGCTAAAAGTAAAAACCCTGTTAAACGAACCTTTAAGTGAATTTACAATGAGTTTTAGAAAAACGCTGAGGGAGCGCCAATCTTGATTATAAGTTATTTCTCAAGGTTTGAAAATTTTGGTGGAAAACTTGGTTTTGATGGGACCAAAGAAAGCAATAAAAGCACATGCTGTTTGATCTTCTTTTAATGGAGCTGTGGGGATGGACTTAGATTTTGCTTAAAACTTACGACTGCATCTTTGACAATACTTTCTTAAATTTAAAGTCAGATGAATTCTTGACTAGTAAACTACATTCATAACATCATTGAACAATACATGCAAGATTTCAACTCTCTCTCTCTCTCTCTCTCTCTTTAATATTCTCTTTGCTGAACGTGATTTAAGGTTTATATTCATACCAAATGAACATATTAAAAATGATCCCACAAATTTTAAAGTGTCAAAGTTAAGAATGTTGAGACGTTAAAAGAAAAAAAATATTATAGGCTTCACAAACATGCGTGTTTCAGTGAACAAGAAAATGCCAAAAAACAAATATTCCCTAGATGATTGAATTGAAATTAAAAAAAAAAAAAAAAAGTGCAAGAAAATCTAGAGGGAAGTAAAGAATGCTGCAATTTATCGAGACTAGTGAACCCATATAAATATAAGAATTCATTAATATTTGTATCAGAAAAGATTTCCCAAATAAATGAATGCGTTTGATTGAATTTTTTTTACTGTATTCAATTCAACCTATTACTTCTTTTACTGCAAGATTTCCAAAATAATTAGAATTCCTCTAGCAAAATATCAACATTATTATCATTGATGTCTTGTAAGTCACCTATCTAATTAGAATTGGGTTCATTAAGCTAATAAAAGTCGAGTTGATTTATTTGTTTACGACTCTAATTTCCGTGACATGGCATTGTCATGTTATATCAATCAAAACTTTTTATTTAAATCAACATATGATCCTTTGGCATGACTCTATTAATTAATTTATTTTTATTGTTATGACATCAATTTTTATGATTTGATTATTTTCAAGAAAGAAAAAACCGAGTTTATTACTGGAAATTACCTGGTTGAATATATATAATTAGGACTAATATATGGTGGAGAAATTGTCCTTGATTTGTGGCATACTTGATGGAATCAGGTGCAGTAAACAAGGATTAGACATAATGATTTCATATAGTGATGAAGAATTTTATTGCAATGAAAAGATGTCAATTGCTTTTGAAAGACAAGATGTTTAACTGAACATTTTTTACGAGTTGAGATTATAGTAATAGCTGTCAAAATCTATTTTCATAACATCAATTCAAAAGAATGTAAAATTTGATAGCTTAGCAGTAAGAAAATTATAAAATCCAATCAAAATGATTAAAAAAAAGAAGAAGAAGAAGTTTAAAAGCTGGAAGTATGCTTTATGGGTTCATTAAGAGATATAAAAAGCGTAATCGCATTCATATATCGTGAAGTGAGGTATAATATGACTTGTGTCAGGTCTTAATTGTTTTAAGTTGGGCGAGCAATTGAACTCAAAAATTTTTTTTTTTCTAAGTTAGTTTAGGAAAAAAGTGGGGGTGCGTTACCTAACAAATGCAAAAGGCATAGAGCCTTTTGACTCTCCAAATAATTTTACATTATCTCATATTTAAGGTTTGGATAGATTGCTTACTTTGTTACCTATGCACAACTTATCTAGAAATATAGGTTGATTCCCGGCTCAATTTACCATTACAACTTTTGTATTCTAAGAATCCGTTTGACATGACTTTTATTTATATTTATATTTCATATAGAATAGCTTTTGAGGGAATTTACCTTAATTTTTGCTTGAAATCTGATTTTTGAAAGAATTTTTTATTCCATAAGTGCTTTTAAAAGTAGACATATTTGACAGGCCTTCTTTAAAAGCTTTTCGAATTAGATGAAATACTTTCGTAAAATTAACCACACAGGTTCAAAAACTCCTTTTTACTTTTAGAAGCCAAGCCAAAGTGGCCTTAAATTGTATAGATTCAACATGACTAAACAGGATATATAAATGAACTTTTTCACTAAACCATGTTCTATTGTAATTAAAATAATTTTACTTTTAAATTACTATTTTTTCAGGCATGGATTCTTAAATTGCTTTGTTGTTAACATACCTCGTGTAAGAAATGAATCTCAACTTAATTTTTAGAAAATCAACATGCTCAACATTGTATTCAATTTAGACATAAAGTTACTTCACACTTTCAGACATTGTTTATAGTAATAAATTTTATTGTAACAAAACAATGAAAAATTTGTTTTCTATTTTTAACTCCAAGAAGTTCTTTTATAAGCAAAAATCTAAAAAGAAGGTAAATTGAAATGAAATTGTTCGAGTTTGAATATGATATGAATTGTTACATAGAATGAAACCAATGTCCCTCATTAGAAGGTTGCCCGAGTTTATATACATTTGATTTGATGCAATCTTCATCGTTGTGCCTTTTTATTCAGATAAAAAAATTGTGGTTCATGTATTATTTCCATGTTGGTGAGTTCATCTATTAACTTATTGTGGAACCAAATTTGTTGCATTTAATTTGAACATATGTGACTTCTAGTATAACTAGATTTAAAGTAAACTGTTACAATATAATAAAATTAAAAAAAAAACCATAAACACTATAATTTGTCAAAAAAATTACATAAACACTATAATTTGTCAAAGAAATTACAAAAACTGTAAATACCGAAATTTTCTTTAATCGTCAGTCGAAGCTGTTATCTTGGAAAAATTAACAAAAATTAATATTTCAATTCAGCCCTATTTCCTTCCTATTTCTGCAAATTGCCCGATAAATTTTCCACGTTAGCCCATTGGACAGGAAATAGGTTCATTAATTTATGGGCGTGGGATTTGGGCCTACAAAGTAAAATTACACATAAGCTTTTTTTTTTTTCCTTGCTTCTCATTTCAATAATCTTTTTTTTTTTTTTTTTTTTTTTTCCCTTGCTTCTCATTTCAATAATCAAATACAAAGATTGTTCTTTCAAAACTCAAGTGCATTATCTCTGCGCTCTCTCTGTTCTTTCTCAATTCGCTTGACATCCGCCCACCAACTCCGGCCACTATCGTGAAAAATCAACCACCGCTTTTCCCTCTCACATCCGATGGTGGATCGGTGTACAATTGAATCCCAACCGCAAGGGATGGAGAACTCTAGCTTAAGTCCCGACCAAAATACCAAGTAATTTTGAAATGAACTAGCAATGGTGGTTTGTGAGAGTGTTCCGAGGGTAGCATTGTAGTGGTTGAGGGGATAGTGGAATCTTCTTCCATCGTTGTAGTGGTGGAGGTGAGAAATAGGTTGTGGTACGATACTATATGTGTGATGATGCGGATCATACAATTAATGTCGATGTGTGGCTAGCTACATA